AGAATGGGTGGACGAATGGATTGCTTCGAAACAAACATCGTTTTATCGAGATGGTATCGCCCAGTTGCCAGAAAGATGGCAAAAAGTTGTAGAAAGTGATGGAAAATACTTTCATTGAAATAATTTAAATAAATTTTTTACAATAAATGCTTTTTCTCAGTATTTTTTGGGCGGAAACTAAGTTAAGGTCCTAATATATTAATTTTATAAGTTTCTCCGAATTTGGAAAACAGATCAATAAAGGATCTCGAGAAGTAATGAAGAGGTGGCAAAACTTAGAATCTGCTCTATAAAGCCGACGTTTATAGTCAATCACTGATGACGTTTGATAAATAATCATAACTATATAAATCATTGATTACTTGTAAACTCGTAATATTTATTTTATGCAACGAAAAATATTGGTCCAAATAGTTACGTAACAGTCCACAAGTACGAATCTGTAATGAACTATACTCTTAATCACAGATAGTAAACAATTTGCAATTGAAAATGTTTAAGTCTCGCGTGTGATAAAATTTCTTTTTTTGATAATATAATTGTAGGACGTGAGTTTCTCTTTTCATCTAGTATCTGCCAACGTCTTCTCTTCACTATCATTTAGCCTCGTATCGAATCCAAATTGCAATTTGTAGAATTATTGCAAAAGCAAAGTATAGATTTGGGAACGTTAGCATTTTTAAAACGTTTGCACACTTCTTCGGAAGCATTAATCATTAACTCAAGATTAATTTCGTAAAGCATGCAGAAGAAATATATTTATCGTGCGTAAATACTTGCCCGGATTATGATATTGTTATTTCATTATTATCACGCGAAAGTAGCCTATTTTGCCAATCTGAATCTCAATTAATTCTTTGTACTCCGCAATTAATTTTGTTTCAACGTTTCGTTTCAACAACAATAAGAAATTGTGAAACTATTTAGAAAATAAAGGATATGAAAAAATTATTATAGCGCGCCAAAAAAAGATATATATTTCCATGTTCAATAATATTTCGTAATTTAATAAATATTTATGTCGAACAAACTATTATATTCGAGTTATAGAAACAAAACATGATATCGAGTACAGCGCTCGACTTTCGAGTAAAAAGGATTAAATGTAGCGAAATAACGTATAATATTAATATTGATAATGTATAATATTAATATTGTAATATGGAGAAAACTTTATGCAAACGAATAAATTACGTAACGGTGCTCCCGAGAGTATCTTGTCAGCTAAAGATCACGCGCGACCTCGAGAATAATAACACACGTCAGTCTCGCGAATGCTTATGACACACTCCCACTTTCTGGATTAATTTTCATTACTAGATCAGTGATTATAGACACGCGTAGCTAAAAACGAATGTGTCTAGTTAAAATTTTGATCGATCTATCGAATGGTAAGACGATATCGATCTATCGAGTGTTCAGAGGGCATCCTTGTAAGTGCGGCGCGCACTTACAGCAGACGTAATCAAATGGGCGATCATCTTCGATCTTCTGCGTCGAGTAGCCGCCATGAACACATCGATCGATATCGCTCTACGTTTTGCGCGTCTTCTGCCCATCGAAACAAAGTCTCATGGGGAAATAAGTGTCGAGAATGTCGAAACTAATGATGTGCGTCGGGACGTATGGTAAGCACCTTATTAGGAACTAATTTGCAGTAATACGACCGATGCTTGTCGCGACATGTCAAGTCGGCGTCTCTAACACTTGTTATATATTACTCACTCAAGTAGTAATAGAATCGAACGATCGTCGGATTTATTAGTCGGAAATTAGAAATACGGTGGTAATTAGAGAAACAGATAATAACGACAGCATCCTGGAATTCGAAGGTTGAATTATCTTTCTTCATATTGAATTTATTTTGTTTTGCTTTCTGAATTGATGATTTATTGATGATTTATTAAATTTAAAATATAATTTTGAAAGAGAATTGGTTAGTTAAAAAGTTCGATTTTTTAAATTAAATTCGTCTTTATCGAATTATTATTTAACGGAAACAAATGATTCCTCAATTGAGTAATCGTCGTCGTTGTTTATGATCCTCTGTCAACATTTTGATAGTTTTCGTATACCGTATCGCATCGTAGAAGGTAGTGATTTTACTGGTCAAGAAAACAGAAAATCGAATTGAGCTTTTTCACTGATTCAATATTGCTTTAAAAGAGAAATCTACACTCTCATGTCCCCATGTTTTCGGTATATATTGACATCTATCGATGTAACTAATCAGGAAATTTTTTTTGTTTCAGAGATCTGCTAGAGCTTGCTGCCACATAATGGGTGCGGTTCCCAGGGATGCAATACTGATATGGACGTGGGTGCCGTTCCGGAGGATCCGAGCCAAGCAGGGTTGGGTAGAAGGTAGGTTTGCAGACTTTCCGAGAACTCTTGTATTTGATTCTTTGCGATCGATACCTACGACACAATTGTCGGGATAAAGTTTGGTCGAGTTGCTACGGTCACAAAGAATTAACAACCTCGTATCCGTGCGCATTTTTCTCGTTAAGCCGTTAACTCCTATCTAATCGGCAAAACTATACTTTTTTGTCCCAGATCTCTATAACAGAACGCGGTTCAAAGCAACAGCCTTGAGTTCCTGGTATTCCAAAACGTCCTTTTTAAGGAAAATTTTACTCAATATCTATAGTTTACATTATATATACACAATATCTATAGTTTATATTATATATAAAGTACTGAGTAAAATTTCCTCAAGAAGAGTGTTTTTTAGAATGCAACTTTAGCGTAGAATTTTGCATGTTCTTTGTTTGTGTTGTCTAACAAGATATATTGCTTGAAATAATTAGGGGATTAATTTAAATTTTTCCATATCGTCTAATAGATATTTGAATAATTGAATAGGCTTGAAATAGTTTCACTTTTCTACTAAGTGCATTCCTTTCTAAGAGGGCACTCCTTTCATTAATTAAATATTTCTTTCTGAAATATACCTACTTTTCATATCTCTTAAATTTTTCAGTTTTTAGTGGCTTATTTATACAAGTTGTTACTGGAAAATGATTCAAAACTTTGCAGGCTTGTAGAACTCACTAAACTGAATACAAATTGCTTTGTTAACACAGATTTTGATTGACTATGTATTCTTATTCGGAGTTTAATGTGTATTACAAATTTGCAAAATTCTCAACCAAAAACTTTCCATAACACTCTGTATAAATGTTTATACAGCTCTTGTTATATTTGATTAAGATATAGAATTATTCAACAAAACTTTTTGGTCGTTGTGACTCCCTAATTGTTTCAAGTAGTTTAAAATGCGCATCAGAATTGCCACCGCAAGCGGAATTCGCGACTGCTTCCCTCGCGACTTGTTTTGCGGGCGTCGTGGTTTTCAGTTTTCAGAAATTTTTCATTCGCAACGCGATGTTATTTCCACCGTAATTATCAAATTTGAAGCATACATTTGTTGTTTCGCTTAAAAATAAAAATTTTTACGAGAAACTCATTTTTTTACAGGATATAATTATCCGCGAAATAGAATATATTTTTCTATTTTCTTTCGAGCTTTTCGAAAGTGCCATGATCTTTACTCCGTTAATTTTACACTCGATTTGCGACTCGCACGTTCTCGAAGTATAAAAAATCTCAAAGTCCTCGAAGTATAAAAAATTTACCGCGTACTTTCTCTTAGATCGTTAAGCGTTGTTAAAATTGTCGCGCTCGCGAGTGTATCGTCAGGAATATCGAAACTTATCGCGACCTCTTCGTTAAATCGTTGAACGTCGATAAAGTGAATACGGTCAGGAGTGAGTGGAGCGTGCGATCGACGTGGGACAACAGCTGGACGCAATGCAGGCTGGAGGATGCTGGATGGATGCGGAGCAGCATAGTGGTGGACTTCATCAGAGAACCTGAACATTGTTGGATATCAGCACGAAGTGGTGAGTGTACAATCTAAACGCTCGCACAGAGCATCATATCATGTAGTGCATGCTTAGACGTAAATCGCATTGATTTCTGACGACAAATAGCAATTACTGATATACGATAGCGTGCGTCCTCTTATAATGTGTAATTAATTTTATAAAAATGCGAATTTATATCTTAATACGACGATGGATGAGCCTGTTTTCAATAGTTGCCATTTCGAAGCTGCAATAACGATTTACAGCTATTTTTACGCAGCGATTTAATCTGGCGGAAAACCGCGTCGAACTCAAAATCGCATTAACCGATTTCGGAAACTCGTAATTTTCCGTTGGCGTATTAGCGACCTGTAGCACCGAGTCGTTATCGTTTTACGGTGTCGCGATACTATTATGCGCTGACTCGAGGAGGTATAACTGTTAATTCCGTTACGAGGCAAAGGAAGTGTCCGGGTATGCTTACATCCAACAAGGTTCTTCGCTGAAGACTGCGCAATGCGCGCGGTGCGACGGAGCATTATAAAATTCAAATGATGCGGTAACTCCACCATAATTCCGCCTCTGAATATTGTGAACCTTTAACGGCCGCTAATGTCGTATTAAACAACCGGAAAGATCAGATATTACGCCGTCAAAGGACGAGATGTAGACGGGGAAATTAGTTATTCATTATTCATTACAATGTAAAACTCGGGCAGAGAATTTCTTTGCTTTCGCACGACGATGAGCTGCAACGGCGAATTAATCATTTGTTCTGCGCGTAAAAGCCAGCGCGTAACAGTTACGATTACCCACGGGCTTATGCCGCGCGCGTTATTCGCAGGAATGTTAAAGTCCATCGTGGTGAGGTTTCGTTTTATTTATTAATGCGCGCGTTTTTAACGAGGAAAGTCTTAAAGAAGTAGTGGAAAAGCGTTTTTATAACGTAAATGCTGAATAAAAAAGCTTTCAATTTGTTCGAAATTATTCGTGATCAAAATAATATAGAAGCTTACGACAATTTCATCATAATTTTATTGGCTATTATTGAGATACATTCTTGTAATATTAAGAGATTGTACATTCTTATTTTCTATTGAATTAACTCGAAAGTTTGGGTCGATTTTTTAGTTAGATTAGTGTTTAGCATATTCAACAAATCATTCATTAATCAAATTCATTATTATCTATGATTTCTTTTTTTCCAACAGTGTTTGTACTAATAAATAATTTCTTTTTAATAAGTGCAACGAAGTTAAATTTCACTGAAAAATCGAATTAAATTTTATCTGGTCTTCTCAATAGAAAATAAGTACAATCTTACACTCAGAGAAAAGTGGCAACTGCATATATGAGTAAAATGTAATATTGATAAGATACATTTTTATGATCATACTGAGAGAAAAAGACATAGTAGTGACAACTACAATTACACGAGTTTTGTATGGAGAATTAATGTATACGATAAACTATTTTATAGTTGTTGCAATTAAAACTGAATGATTACGAGAACTATGTAGTTGTCGCAAATATTTAGCATTAGTTGCATAAAATAGTTTATCAAACTATATACATTAATTATACATACAAAACTCATGTAATTGTCTATTGTGATCTTTTTCTTTGAGTATACGATAACAAGAATGTATCTTAGTGATATTACATTTTACGAATCTAAAGTAAGATTCAAATAAAAATTAGCAGTCTCTTTAAGAATTTAAATACCAGCCAATCTCAGAAAATATAATTTGCCCTCGCGAAAATCGTGTTTCTCTTAATAAGGATATTTGCGCCCTATTTGGAAAACATTGTACGTCCGTAGCAACAAGTCAAGCATGTTAACACGACAGGCAATCTGCGTCTCGTTCTCGTCGCATTAATTATTCCACGAAATGTTCATTAAAGATGTCGAAATTGTCGGGGCGCGTAACGAGGCAGTCCGATTGAAAAGTTTAAATTGGCGGCGAGCATGAAAGATTGTCGCGTGGCCAGTCTGTAATTACAAGTTCGTTCGCCCTTTTTCGTCCATGCTCCCTTTATCGCTTTTATCGCACGCGCCTCGCAATTGAATCAAAAGCGGATTTAATCAGTAACCGTCCGCCGTCTCACTTTCCGTCATTACAGCACAATGAATTTGTGAACGGTCCTGTAATTTAATTAATTTTCATAAATCACTACTTTCCCGAGCGCGATACGAATATATTGTACATCCTTAATTCCACTACGTTTTGTAGACGTAATCGTTGTTGATGAAGATTTCTTTTAATATTTATTAACCTCACGAAATAACGAGAAAGTAGGATGAACGAGCTGAATTTAAACACAGAATACAGATACTTACAAAATAAGTTGTTTTTCACTTAAAATCTGTCTTTCATATATTAATATTCCTAATATATTTAATATATATCCAATATCTATCTAATATATATGTATATATATATATATATATATATATATATATATAAACTTCTTAACGATTCATTATGTTACGGCATCTCTCTGCAGTTGAGTGACATTTGCGTCCTAATTATGGAGTTAGTGTTTTTAATTAAAATCGAAGTTACCAATCGAACAATCTGTATCTTTAAACTGAAAGGATAAATTCAGTACGCCAAAGCAAGAAACTTTTCTATTTGGCATTTTGGTCAAATCTTAAAATTAACGTTTGTCTAAATCAAAACTGAACATGTAGATCTTTGTATGTGTGTGTGTGTGTGAAGATATATATATATATATATATATATATATATATATATATATATATATATATATATATATATATATATATATATCTTGACCAGTTTGGCGCTCAGTGTTCCTAAGCGAAATGATAATAAATCTAACACGACGTTTCCTCGACAATTTCAGACCGTGCGCGTTAGCGATTAAGAGCTTCAAATTCCGGATTAATGGAGGGGGAAAATAGCGCGCGGCGCTTCACTAATAAAATAAGACTGTAGGTTGATTTTATCGACTTTGAAACGACGTCGCGCGGTTCCAATTTGCATTGCTCGCTCGATTAAATCTTCCTTCAAACGGAGCATTCGCGATAACGACGCGTCACTATATACTCTTTAAGCCGGTAATGCCCCGCGTGCTCGAAATTTTTCAGCGAAATTCTCAAGCTCGCACCGATAATGGAGACGTAGGACGCGAACGAAGAAGG